CAAGGGAGCCCACCCCAGTAATGACCTCTTTTTCATGGACCTCAACCAGCACTCATGAGAAGGACTGGGAGCAGAGACCCAGTGGTGCCCCTTCCGTGGGACAGAGGTAAAGATGACTGTCTCTGAGGACAAGCATAAATCCAGAACCTTTTCTCATACAAAGCAAACTCATCTGCCTCTTAAGCAAGAAGGAAACCTTCTCACCCACAGTTCTCAGCAAAAGGTCAGCTGTCACTGGGAAGGGGCAGATTATAGCAGAGGCTAATCACTGCTGGGGAGAGGAAGAAACACAGGCACTCAGGATTCTGCACTGATAGACAGCAAAGATCTCTTGCAGCAGGGATAGGAACAGGACATTTGCATGCAGAGTTCAACTGCCACAGGGGGAAGGGACAGGAATGTGGAGACAGTCCCACGCTTGGGGCTCAGGCCCCCAAGACCTGCATCAGACAAGCTAGAATATGAAAGCCGAGAAAACCAGCCTTCATCCACCATAAGCAACAGCAAGCTATTTCTGGGAGACACACAAAAGCATGAGAGAGAACCCCCCCACCCTGACCTGTGGCCAGGTGTGCTGAACCGTTGGGGATGGAAAGGAACACTAAGGAAATCCGTCTAGCATTCCAGGCCTCACATTAATGTGAGAGATCAGCAGTGTAGAGGAACCTGAAGTCTGAAGGATAATAATGCTAACAACAGCAACCACAAAACCCAAACCTCACTCAAATACTGACCAGATTTAGTCAGCCCCCAACCCTACTGACCTAACAGATAAAGAGGCCTGCCCGTGTACAAAAGTAACCACTGTTTACATCTGTCAAGCTTACTCCTGACATATAATGCTTGCCATTCATTCAAACTTACAAGGCAGAAATGACCCATTGTCAAGAACTAAAGCAGTAAATGGAACCAGACTGTGAGATGGCCCACAGGTTGAAACTGTCAGAAACTGACTTGAAAATACTGTGATTAATCTGTGGAAAGATCTAGGGGAAATATGAACATGAATGAGCACATAGGGAATTTCAGCAGAGAGATTGAAACTATAAAAAAAGAATAAAAGTGACTCACTAGAAATGAAAAACATGTTCTGAAGGATAATGAATTCCTTCAAATGCCTTACCACAGACTAGACACAGAATTAGTGAACTTGATAGTGAACCTTTGTCCAAAAATAGGGGGTTATTTAAATAATTATAATCCATTCATGTTAAACAGATAATTATATCATTTTTGTACTGACTGACAAATATAATCTTAACTGGAAAAAAAGCAGAATGTAAAACACTATATATAGTATGTATTTTTATAAACATATAGATCTGGTCATTTGAAGGATATATAAGTAATAACAGTGGTTATGTGATTTTCGTTGTTAATCTGTATTGTTTATTTTTTCTGCAATTAATATGTATTGTTTATATAATAAAAATATATATGTCAAGCTGAACATCACCAATATTGAGACAGTCAAGCATTGTGTACCCCTGAAATGATGCACTGTTACCTATGTAGTATTTTGGCCCAAAATTCTAATCCAAATTTAATTAGAGGAAACAAATACAACTTTAGACACATTCTTCAGAACATGTGTTACAGACCCTTCAGATCTGTCAGTGTCATGGAAGGAAAAAGAAAGGCTGGGAAACTGTTCTAAATTAAAGGCCACTAGAGAAATATTGCAATTAAATACAACTCAGGATCCTTGATTTTGCCCAACACAATGGATGAAAATCAACTTTGGCAAAACATTTTTGTGAAATTTGTCAGAAACAAAGAAAAAAATCAATAAATTTCTAGAACAGAAAAAACAATGATTATATCCAAACAAATCAGGAATCCAAATGGCATTAGGCTTCTCAACACAAATACTTAGAAACCAGAAAGCAACTGAGCAATGCCATCAAAATTCAGAAGGAAAATATTTCCAATACAGAATTGTAAATCCAGTTAAATCATCAGTTAAGCATGAGGGGGAAAACAAATAAATGTTCAGACATGCAAGGTTCAAAAAATTACCCTTTCTTAAGAAGCCACTAATGGATGCTTTCTTCCCAAGCAATGAAATAAAGGAAAACAAATAAATGTTCAGACATGCAAGGTTCAAAAAATTACCCTTTCTTAAGAAGCCACTAATGGATGCTTTCTTCCCAAGCAATGAAATAAGCCAAGAAAGAAAAAAAAAAAAACACTGAAATTAGAAAGAAGGAGAACCAGCTGAGATAAGTGAAAAGAATCTCTTGAAGATGGTAAAGGGAGGTGTCCAGGTGACAGGTGACATAGAGGGCGACATGTCCAGATTCAATCTAAGTGACTCAAGTAGAGCAGTAGGCACAATGACGGTTCTCACTGCTATGCCCTCGGCCTCCGTACGATCTTTTTAATCTTATGTCATATTGGATGATGTGTTCTGCCAAAAGGGAAGAAATCAAGAAAAAAAGACCAGAGATCCAAGAAGCAGGGACTCCCACACAAAATAAAGGCAGAGCATTTCAATGGTGACAACAAATGGACACGGCAGGATAATACTTATGCAGCAGGCCTACGGAGAAGCCAGCCCACACAGGAGGGAAATGAAGGTCTCTGGTAGGAAGGTTTCCAAGAAAAAACAACTGGAATTGCTTTATAATGTTACAAAACTGACCTTGTAGAAATTGTACTGGGGGACTATGACTATTTAAAGGTATAGGAAGAATTAGCTAGGGTAACGATGAAAATTAAGAAAAGGCCATTATTAACTGCAACAAAAAAGAATATAATAATATTCACAACATACTACAGCATTCAACTGAGAATATTTTATTCCATGATACTGTAAACACTGGATATAGCTCTAACCCAAAATTATTATATTACTGTATTAATAGTAAATGGGAAAGGAGAAACAGGACAGATGTGTGAGAGCTAATACTTCAATTTTATCTAATAAAGTGACTAGATAATATCTAAAGTAATTGAATCAATAAATAGCATTATACACTTAACATTTAGAATTGTGGAATTAAATAAATGCTAGAAGAAACAGCAAATAGAATCTAAGTCGGTTTTCTCTAGAAGAGGGGAAGGAGGAGTGGATATGTGTGCACAGGGAACTCTATCTTATTACCAGCCCCCTAGTTCTATCTAAGTTTTCAAACTGTGTTTATATATTAGTTTGAGAAGAATTATTTTTTAAAATCATTGTTTTATCAGGGCAAGTTGAGCTCTGTGAAGTATACTTTCACTGGTGGAGTTTTGTTTTCCTATATGAGAGCATTTCAACAAATTTGAGCCAAATTATAGAACTATCTTGAGAAATATTAAACTGATATTGGCCCAGGGAATCATTGCATTATGGGTATTGTTCAAAGAGAGCTCCCTGAAATAAGTGGATCATAAGCTGCAGTGATGTATGTTACAAAAAGAAAAAAAAAGGCCACTGGCCAAACCCTCTGAGGAGAGAATGTGAAAATTAAACCAGGAGTTTGATTTCCCAAAGCTATCACTTTACCTCTTTCTAAGTGTTTTACCAAGAATGGCTATTCCTTCATCTCCCTAGAGCTTCCCTGGGCTCTTCTGGATGACACACACATAGGTATGAAAGGCATTTTTTTCTTAGCCTGATGGATTTAGTCAAGGCAGAAATATTTGCTCAGCTATCTGAAATGCATCACACATCCATTATTTCATCAACTCAAAACATTCTCACTGATATCTACCATGTGTCAGGTCCAGTGCTAAGCCCTGGGAATATGATGATGAAAATGACAAAGGTCCTTGGCCGAAGGACAAGAGCTCAGGAAATGAGATTCCCACAGCAACTGGCAGGACTGTCATCTGCACCCACCAAACCCTCTTATCCCTTGCGTCTTAGTGTCAAATGTTTTCTCAGCCTGGAAACGTGGACCCCAGCAGACATCCAGGGCAGGAAGCACAGGAAGTCATCTTTCACCAATACTAATGTGGAGGGTGCATAAAAGACAAACTGATGCTTCCAACAAAATTAAAGTTTGTTTGTGAGGAGTTAGGGCTAAATTAAAAAAGGCATTTAATCTAAACCATTTCCTGTGACTTGGATTTCTTTTTTAAAAATTGGCCGCCTTATCATTTTCTTAGTCACCTTTCCTCTAGGCTTATTGGAGGCGTAGTCCCTCCTAGCAACCTCCCATCTGCTGGAAAGCAGAATCAAGGGACTGAGGAACCAGGATGACACAGCCATCACTGGATGAAAAGACGAGAAGGAAAGCAATAAATGTACTACTATTTGCATAAAACCTATTAATGGCCTCTTCAGAATAATGAAACGAATTTTACATGGAGAGCAGCTGGGATCCACTGCTTCTAGTAATGAGTACTTGAAACATCTCCAAACCACTGCTCCCCAATTGCCAAGCAATATCAGTGACTTCAGTTCTTTCCAAGTATAATACTCTCAACTGTTGGCAGAGGAAGACATCTCTTTATCAAAGATTCATCTGCTGGGCTCCTCTTTGCTCAAAACGCTGTTAGGTTTCTGGTGTTCCCGTTTTTCTCATGCTACTGCAGATCCATGGCATTTCAATCTTCTTTTTTTTTTAAACAAACACTGGAGTGTCTATTTTAATAAACACTTGTCTATTTTTTTCCTACTGGCAATCTGAAACCATTTTGAGTGGTACAATCTCCTTCAGGACCTTCCTCTCTGGTGTGTTGGTCCCGAGTTAACATGAGCCTTTACAATAAGCAGGAAAAGCGACCTTCTGCCGTCTGTGCTCTACAGGTAAACAGCGACCGACAGAGGTTCCCAGAACCCAGCGGTGCACAGCGTGCGGGCCGCGGCAGAGACTGGAAGGGGATTCACCAGAATGGGGAGGGGAGACGCGGAGAAGGTGGAGAATAGGAATCATGTGTGTTCCTCGAGTGTACAACCCACATTTGAGTGACAAATGACGAGGACAACCTATAAAAACAACTAAGCGCAAATCCACCCTCATCCATCTCCCTCCAGGTGCGTGTGCGTTTTCAACTAACTTTGGGAACTCGGAGACCCAGTGTCTGGCCCCGCGCACCTCGCCCCACCTCGGTTTCCCGCGCCCTGGCGGCCCCCTTCGGTACCTCCTCTTCCTCCAGGCTAAGGATGGAGTTCAGCCCCCCAATTCCGTCGGCGGCGCCAAACCTCTCCGGAGCAGTCGCACTGGGCTGGGGTCTCAACTTGACTTCCGGACAGGGAACCCCGGCCCCAGGGCCCCCGACGCCTCCGCCTCCCGGACTGCCCAACCGCCGCGTCCGCCTGGTCCTCCTGGGGGTCATCCTGGTGGTGGCGGTGGCCGGCAACGCCACGGTGCTGAGCCGCCTGTGCGGCGGCAGCGGGCCCTGGGTGGGTCCCAAGCGTCGCAAGATGGACTTCCTGCTGGCGCAGCTGGCTCTGGCCGACCTGTACGCGTGCGGAGGCACCGCGCTCTCGCAGCTGGTCGGGGGGCTGCTGGGCGAGCCGCGCCGGGCCGCGGGGGACCTGGCGTGCCGCTTCGTGCAGCTGCTGCTGGCGTCCGGCCGCGGCGCCTCGGCCCACCTCGTGGCGCTCATCGCCCTCGAACGCCAGCCCGCCGTGCGCCGTCCGCAGGCCCCACCGCTGCCCGCGCGCGCCCTCGCCGCCCTGGGCTGGCTGCTGGCGCTCCTGCTGGCGCTGCCGCCGGCTCTCGTGGTGCGCGGGGGCGCCCCCTCACTGTTCCCCGCCGCGCCCCAGGTCCCTCGCGCCTGGCCCGGGCAGCGTCGCTGCCACGACATCTTCGCGCCGCTGCCGCGCTGGCACCTGCAGGTCTACGCGCTGTACGAAGTTGTCGCGGGCTTCGCGGCGCCTGCCGCGGTCATGGGCATCGCTTGCAGCCGCCTGCTCTGCGCCTGGTGTCAGCGCCCGTCCCAGGCCCCGCCGGCTGCGGCGCCCTGGTCGGCGAATCCCTGCCGAGCTCCCAGCGGGTTGCCCCGCGCCAAGGTACAGAGCCTGAAGATGAGCCTGGTGCTCGCGCTGCTGTTCGTGGGTTGCGAGCTGCCGGACTTTGCCACTCGGCTGGCGGCCGCGTGGAAGTCCGGACCGGTGGGAGACCGGGAGGCTGAGGACCTGGCGGAGGCGCTGCGCCTCGTGGGGGTGGCCAACAGCGCTCTCAATCCCTTCGTCTACCTCCTCTTCCAGGCGGGAGACTGCCAACTCCGGCGGCGGCTGCAGAGGCGCCTGGGCGCGGTCTGCTGCGCGCCGGAGGGAGTCTCAGAGGACGGCGAGGGGGCCCGGGGCCACCGGGCTCTCCACCGCCACCGCTGGCCCCACCCCCATTATCACCACGCTCGGCGGGAGCAGCCAAAGGGGGGCTGCTTGCGCCCACCCCCGCCGCGCCCCCGGCAGCTGCCCTGCTCCTGCGAAAGCGCCTTCTAGGTGCTCGATGGCTGGAGACAGGTCATCTTTCTCTGCGCAGCCCTCCACGAACGCGAGGCCGGGCCTGGGTCTAACTAGTTCAAAACCGGCAGAAAGGTCCCCGAGAGAGTCACACTGAGGCTGTACTCCTCTTCCACTCTCCTAGTATATTTCTTCATAAGGTTTCTTTTTCCAACACTCTTCCAGGTTTCTCCCTTCCAGTTCCTCTCATATTTCTCCACTTGGAGACTGGACAGCGAGCCATTAGGGAGTTGTATTAACAAAGTTAATAATTACGATTGATTGACAGTTCCCTTTAACGCTCCCATACTGTTCTGGATAAGACCTTTTGTGTTAGCTAAATTGCCGGGCTATCATTATTTGTTGTGTTATTATCTGTTTTTACTTATTTTGAATTGCGTTTAAATCAAGTGTACCTTCAGAACAAGAGAATTTGCCTTTCTTTCCAGGAAGATAATCCCCATATTGCTCTCCTCAGAGGAGCCTGGAAATTATGTTAGCAATACTGTCAGAAATATAAGCGTGCTGTCATTTCAGAGCCACAAAGTATTTGTAAAATAAAAACATTTCCCACAGAGCTACTAGTACTTTTCTTTACATGGTAATGCGTTTTCTCAGAAGAAAATCAGTGTGGCTTTTTTTTTTTCCAGTCTAGTTTCCACCTCAACAGAAGCTGCAATTGTAGCAGGGAGACATAAAAGCTTCCTTTAGTCCCTCTCAAATGCGCCCAATTTCTGTAGAAATTGTCCATGCACCTGGACCAGTCTCTACAGCTGAGATGCTGTTCCCAGGTAGAGCCTGCCTCTCAGTACAAAAATCCCCCCCGGGGCAAACTACAGAAGGAAAGCAGACCAGGTGGGATCACTGTCCCAGAGGAAGCCTCGTGGAGAGTTGCAGCTAGGAAGAAAGCAGAACCTCCCAAAGCTGCATGTAAATATAAAACCCCCTTTCAAAAATGAAGGCAATGCCTATTGGTGCGTGTGGATTGCTGAGAACAAGGTCAAGAAGCAGATTTAATCAGTGACCTTCTCTTTTAATCAGTGCCACTTCTAAAGAGAAGTGGCAGCACTTACGAACAGTATATTCATGTGTTTACCATCTGATAATTATAGTTTTCCATTATAGTGCTTCCTGTTCATGCACAAATGTGAGACTAAGATGCAAAAAGGAGAAATAATAGGCAAATTTCATTTATAGAGCCAGTGAATGCTCTCTCAGAGCTTTGTTTTGTTCATGATGTACCCCAAAATCTTAAATAGTGCTTGACACATTGTAAGCACTCAACACATACGTGTTGGACAATTCATCATATGAGTCAGGCATGGAGAGAATGGATACAAGATTTACAAAAGATATCTTCATTAAGCCTGGCTTATCTTCCTCCAAAATTTTTTCAAAAACTGTTACAGAATCACAGGTTTTTCTTCTCTCCTTAATACTCCCTACTCTGCTGAGGATGCTATGGTATGCAGTTTAGTAAGAACAAGTCAGGTCAAAGACAGGACACAGTTGTTTTCATGAACCCAAACCTGGGTTTTTGCATTATTTTTATTCATTAATAACACTGCTTCCTTATTTTGTATCAAGCAATGTGGTAGGCATTGGAGATGCTAAGGTACATGAAACACATCTTTCCCTTATGTAGCAGTATATTAACTGACAATCACAGCACAGTGTCATATGTGCTTTATCAGGGGTTCTAGTCAGAGGGTCAGGATGCTGAAGAACATCTGACACCTTTGGGAGACTGAGGAGGGTAGGGAATTAGGAAAAGTTCATCAAAAGAGGCTGTCTTGATGGCTGAGTTGAGATGGGGGTGAGGAAGGGTGACCCATCAGGTAGAGAAGGGTGTTTGAGGCAATTGGAAATAGCCTGTGTAAAAGAGAACACATGGTTAAGGAATGACAATATCTAGCATTAGGATGCCCCTGGGGCCTGACCTGATGGGATACACGGCCAGAGAAACCCAGTCTGAAGTTGGGGAAAAGGTCTGCATGTTATGTTGACAAAGTAAAAAGTAGCCTTTGAAAGATTTAATCAGAGTTGTAATATGATCATATTTGGATTTTGTAAAGGTCTTTCCAAGGATGATATGAAGGAAAAATTAATTGGAAGAGGGGAATGTCTAGAGGCAGGGATCAAGGCAGAAGCTCACAGAGACCTTGAAATATGACCTGTAATGTTCTATCACTTAGAATGCTCTTAACTGAGATAATTAAAGCCAGCTGCATCAGATTTTGTTATCCGCAGTTGAGAGCACCCTAACAGAAAAACTGACTCTGTAAGCTTAAATTTATTATCTCACATGGTGAGAAGTCCTTTAGTAGCACTGTTCCAGGTTCAGTAATTGAATAAATTTATAACTTCATAATTAGGGACCTAGATATCTTTTCGTCTTTCTGTTTGGCCATCCTGAATTGGCAGACTTGATAATAAAGTCAGTTCCCCTTGAGGTCACAAAGCGGCTGCTGCAGTTCCATGCATCACACTGAAACATGACAATGTCCATAAGATTTTCTCTTTTTTTCAGTCTTTATAAGAATAAAGAAGCATTTCTCAAAAGTCCTAGCAGACTTTTCCACATGGCTCATTGGCCAGAACTATCATATATTCATATCTAGACCTATCATAGCAAAGGAAATGGGGCCCATGATTAGCTTAGACCTGGAATTGAAGATATGAGTTGCACAGAGAAGGGGTGAAAAAGATAAGACTATCATTTTTTCTTTTAGGAAAGAAATAAGGGGAAATGCTTGTTGGGAGAGCAAGACTAAACCTTCATACAACTGCCAAAATTTTGGAGATTAATTTTTATAATCTATTAGAGATTTTTGGCTGATTGCAAGCTAGAAATTTTGAGAAAGCTCCATCTGAGTCAAAAATACAGAATGCCAATTCAAGTAGCTAATTTGAAGTCAAATTAAACTGCATTTTCCCTAGATTTTGTGGAAGATTTAGTTAAGCCCAATTCATACTAAAATGATTCTCTTCTTTAAAGAACTTTCTTTACTTCTAACTAAATCTGAAACTTGAAGGTAGACCTAGGTGATGTGGTTCCCATCCCTGGTAGCATTTGTAAGGTTAAGAATTTGAAGCATCCCCTCAGAATGGTTAGCATTGATCTCAGGAATCTACATTACTAAATACAACTCAGAGATTCAGTTCTGTCCCAATCAAGGAAGCCCCCAAAGGTTATTCTAAATTTAGAGTCTTGCTGGAGTGGGACATACCATTCAACTTACACAGCAAAAGTAACTGAGCAGTTGACACTGACCTTGATCTCTTTTTTAGGTATCACCTAAATAGGATATGACTATTTAGAGAAACCAGACCACATACTTGATGTTTAGGAGGAATCAAATAACATCTCCTTACCCACTGTCCATTTCTCTTGGAGTGAGATCTTAACAAGGCTTCTGCACACAGGCCTGGCCTGCAGGACTCTGGGAGACACTATTCATACAGACGACAATATAAAGATCACCACCAGAACTTTAAAGACTAAACAAAGACTTCTATATACATAACTAATATCTTTAAAATAATTAATATTACCTTTTGAAAAGAACTAGCCACATGGTAACATATAGTTAACATAAGTAAATATGACGTATTATATAATTTGAAGCAGAAAAAATATGCAGAAAACAGCTGGGAGTATAACTAAGACCACAACTAGTGACTAGCTATAAATCATTTACTAAAAATAGAATAGTCTAGCTCATTTATGGAAGAGGAGATAAGATTTTTTTATGCTACTTCCTAGGAAACATGACAGTAAGTAGAAATTTTGAGGAGTTGCCTTGCCATTCCTAAAAGTTTGACTTGATCAAAAGGAAAATATTATAATAAATGAATAATCTAATTAAACAGAAGTTTGCCAAGCTGACAGGTAATATAATTTAATAAAAAGAGAGTCTTTAGAGCATAAATACTTGAACAAGCCTAAGGACTTGAATTTTATCTCTACCGTTTAGTAGCTGTGTGACTATAGGCTGTTCACTCAATCTTTCTGAGTCTTCATTTTCTCACCCCCGAAAATGTTATTTATATTATCTACTGCAAAGGACTAATGCATGTAAAATACTTGATTGATTGGGGTACTGTCAAAGTGTCTTTTTAGATTCATCCTAGAAATCAGTATGTGATAGCTATTGTTCTTTTCCAACACTGGGCTATGAGGGATAAAATCCAGTTCAGTAATATTACATGAAGGGAAACAAGAGATCTTGGGGAAATCTGTGGAACATCGGTGTAACAATGGTGGTACACACGGATAGGGAAATTGGGCCTTACAGAAGGTATGGTGTCCACAATAATTGTTGATTGCCTTCCTGGTGGTTTTCCCCTTACTGACTGGCATTATCGGATTCTAATTATATCTATGCCTCTTACAAACAGTTAAGTGCTCTGAGGATGTTGAACTCTCTCCTACTCAGAGACTGGGCCTTGATTCGTCTAAGCACATCAAAGTAATTAACCCCCTTACCAACAGGTCCTGTTCAGAAATGATCATGTGATCCAGTTGAGAACAATAAGATGTGGGAGGTGGTGCTGCTGAAACATCTAGGAAGAAAGTCCTAAATTCTTCTGACGGCCATGGGAGCCGAGATGCTCTCTCCATCTCTCCACTGAAGGTAAACGAGGGAGCAGTTAGTGCTGCTGGCTGCTGGCTGCTGGCAGCCTACCCCAGATCATGAGAGGCTGATAACACCACAGGATGAAGCTAACACTGTGGATACAGGAGAGCGGAGGGATGAAAAGAATGTAGATCCTTAATGACCTCACTGAGCTGTCAGATCAAACAGTACTGAGGCAGGCTTATTGGATGTCATGTTAAATAAACCAATACAGTTTCTTATAGCTTAAAAATCCAGTTTAGCTGGATTTTCTGTTATACATAACATCCAGTAGCCTCTAATTGAAGAAGTTTGGCAAGAAGAAGAGTCTCATTTAGCTTACTGCATGCTCTTTATCAAAGAAATAGGAACATCCCAAGTGTACTTCTAGTTATCCATCATATACTATGTATTAAGGGACTGCACACAGGCCTTAATAGTGGGGAAAATGGAAGCATAGTGGGGAAAATGGAAGAAAACCAAAGATGTAATTCTTGTATTTTAAAAACTTGTATTCTATGAAGAAAATAACTGTTATGGTAAGAACTTTGTTGAGAAATCTCAGCCTGCAATAATTAATGTTACAGGACATTATTTGCCATTGGTAGTTTTATAGATTTACTCATTCATGCATTTAAGTGCAAAGTACTATATGATCTTTCTTATATACATAGATATATATCACACCACAGATTAAAATTTTTGCTTTTGGGTGGGTACTAAAGACCAACTATTATTGTATTTTCTATGTCTAGACTGGAAATGACAAGCATAAAATGCACTGAGGTAGATTATTATAAAATGGCCCCCAGAGAATCACTCTTCTTGATCTCCACCACTTCAATCATCTTTTCCCACAGAGAGTCTGGGGTTGGCCATGTGACCTGCTTTGGCAGTAGACATCAGCAGATCTTTCACAAGCAGGGCCTTTATAAGCATTTATGCATAAGGCTTGCCCTCCCGGAAAAGCTGACCTGAGACAACTATTCCATGAAAAAGCCAAAAACGAAAGATCACATGGAGAGGGAGGCCCAGCTACTCAGCCATTGCAGCTGGGCCCAGTTCCCAGCTGACCTTCCAGCCAAAGGCACCCATGTGAGTGAACCCAGGGAAAACCAACAGAGGATCTGCCAAGCTAACCCACAGATTTGTGAGAAATAATAAACCAGTCATTAAGTTTTGGATGGTGGTTTGGCAGCAATAGCTAACTGAATCATGTAAAATGGTGTTAGATGATTAACACTGGGAGTCAAAAGATCTAGATGTCAGAAGATCTGGATTCTAGTCCACAACCATGTGTCACACTGGGACAGTTAACTGACCACCACATAATCTGATGAGACTTCACATCAACTTGAAATGAGAGAACTCCAAGAGGAAGGTCAAGCACAGGAGATAACGTTTGGGCACCCAACTCTATCTGCTTTTCCATGTGGTGAAATCTCCTGCTATGGCCAAACTCTGGAGCTGCAGCATGGTTTTGTTAAGTAAGGTACTATTGTCTGCCTTACAAAATGCCCATTAGATAAATAATGGGAACCACAGTCATAATAATAACTAAATTTATTAAATGATTTCTTTGGTGTTTGGCACTTTATCAGCATTAATTCATTGAATCCTCACAAAAACAGAAAGGACTCTATCTCCATTCCACAAATACGGAAATAGAGGCCAGAGGTAACTTACCTATAGGGTCAAACAGCCAGTGGGTGCAGAGCTGTGGCGCCTTGTAGTTGTTGCTGTCATTGGAACAATAATAGCCAAGAAGTCCTTCTGACCCTAGAATACAGGTCTGGGTTTACAGATAATTTTGTCTGCTGGAGCCTCAGCTTGGACATTCACTAGTGAGAGGTGGGAAGGAATGTGTTCCATAAACAGTGGCTATCTGAAAAGTGAAATGCATTTTAGAAAACCAGTATACAGTTATGTCAGTTTCATCGTTTCAGCTTCCAAACTATCCAAGTAAAAAATTCACTTTCTATGAATGGAGGAGACTGCCAGCCATTCACCAAAATTCATTCTCCCCCTTATTTGGCCATTCAGCCAGAGACTGCATTTCCCAGCCTCCTTTGCAGCTATTTACAGCTATGTGATAATGTGCTGAGCAAAAGGGACATGTGTGGCTTCCAGACTTGGGCCATAAGACATAGGACCTGGGCTCCTCCATGTTCTCTTTTCCCTTCGTATTGGCTAGAAATATGATGTGACACTCACATGATATGACAATGATCAGGTTCAGCCATGCAAATGAAGACAATATTCTAGATGGTGACAGAGCAAGATGAAAAGAATATGGGTTCCTTTAGAATCTTGTGGGGGCACAGACTGCCTAAACTGCTCAGAAAATTGTGTGAGACAGAAATAAATTTGTCTTCTTTATGCCACTAAATTTTAGGAATCTCATTATATAGCAAGATTAGTCTTTACCTGAATTAATATTTTGAGGTTCTATTAAATTACATCAGGGGATAGTTTTGCTCCACAGTTTTCTGTTCCAGGAGCCCTCTGTATTTTCAGAGGAGGTTGGTGTGAATTAAGGTGGACCCATGTCTAGAATGTGAAACTCCTCAGAGGCTTGAGGAAGGACCTTAGGTCCAAGATGTCCAAGCCAAACCATGCCTGTGGGGTATATCTTTTTTTTTGTTCCCCCAGAGGAAGTCACTTACCTTCAGGGCACACTTTTTTTTTAATCTAAAAGTTGAGTTTTTTAGAGAAACCTCATGTCCATGGACATTGATACAGAAGCAGACACCAAAAATGTGGCAGGCTCCTTGGTTGCCCACATTACTATCTATTATTATCTTGTCTTGTAAAACCCTGATTTTTTCAGGATTAACATGTTCTGGTTATCTATTGTTGTATAATAAACTACCTCAAATGATGTGGTATAAAATCACCAATATTTAATTATGCTCATGGATTATGTGGTTCAGGATTTAGACACAGTATAGCAGGGCTGTCTTGTCTCTGCTGTTTGGAGCCTTACTGGGAAAGACCCAAATGGCTGAGAGCTGGAATCACCTGGGAATGTCTTTACTCATATGTCTGCAGCCCAGGTTGGCATATTCAAAAGATGGGCTCCTCAGGAACTACTAATCACGGCCATCCATGTGGCTTTGGCTTTCTCACTGCATAGCAGCCTTAGAGCAGTCAGACTTCTAAAGCAGATCAAGTTTCCAAGAGCAAGCATTTTAGTGAATAAGTTGGAAGTCACATAGCTTTGTATGATCTTGCCTTGGAAGTCACACAGATTCTTCTGTACTCTACTGGTGAAGCAGTCACAAACCTGCCCAGATTCAAAGGAAGAGAATATAAATCCTACCTTCTAAGAAGTGTCAAATAATTTTCTTATTTTAAAATGGCCACACCATCCAGCAAGGAAGATAAGCCTACCCCCAGGTCTGGGAGATGTCTAAGACAACTGTGATAAACCCATTCCTTCTGCTAGTTGACTGGTTCTGGACAATGACATTACAGGTGAAAGCTTCTGATAAAGGTTTCCTAACCTTAAACAGGAGATACCAGAAGAGGCAATTCCTCTTCTTCCTTTGGATATTGTAGTTTGTAGATGTGACTTAAAGCCTTTTCAGCCATCTTACAACCTGCAGAGGGAGATAAATCTTAAGACTAGCACCTTGAAGCTGGAAGAGTGGAAAGGTGAAAAACTCAAGTTGATTGTGTGAACTAACCAAGCAGGTGAATTAACCAAAGTTTGAGCCAGCCAACCTCAGATCTTCTTAAGTGAAATAGTAAATTTCTTTGCTGTTAATCAGTTTGAGCTTCTGTTTTTCTCTAAAGGCATCCAAATGGACATAAGGAATGGATTAGCCAGAGCTCTCCAGAGAAACAGAATCAATAGGAGATATCTATCTATCTATCTATTTAGAAATTTATTATAAGGAATTAGGTTAAGTGATTATGGAGGCTGAGAAATCCCGTATCTGCTGTTTGCAAGCTGGAAATCCGTGGGGTTTCCTTACAACTTAATCCCTGATAGGAATTATCAATGATGCCTACAAATTTTTGTTTCTCTCTGTTCCTGAAAGTGCTTTAAGTGACCTATTATGTCAACTAAATCCTTAAGCACAGAATGATACAGATAATTGAAAATTTGGCTTGGATCATCATCCAACAGGATATAATAAAAGAAAGGACTTAGATAATGAACACTAGACATTCAAGAATCACTATGCAAGCTACAACTTTCTTTCCTCTGGCCAAGGAAGTCACACCACTGTGTTAAGAGTATTAGAACTGCTCCATTGTAGATGATGAAGTAAACATTTCCTCAGCTAGCTGGATGGAGTTAAGTCCATCTGAATTTTTTTAAAGGTTTTTATTCTTTACTGAGCATTTATCATTATTGTGTATTTTTTCAATGTAGCCACTAAGAGCATGCCCTGTGCCAGCATGTCCCAGAATATACTTTGTGAAGCATCAATTGTTCCATATTAGTATATTATAAAGGAAAGAAAGAATTTCATAGTGAAATGTTTGGAACACTAGGTTAAATAGGTCTCTCCCTCATTTTAGATTTTTTGTTATAAAATACATGAAAAGTAGACTAATAATACAAAAGAACACCCACATATTCATCACTGAGATTCAACAGTTGTTAACATTTTGCCATCTTTGCTTTTGTATATGCTTGTTGTTTTTGAATAACTTGAAAATTATTTGCAAATATCATAACATTACACTTCTTCTCTGAATACCTGAGCATGCATCTTCTAAGACATATTTGCGTAATCACAAAAGCATTATTACACCTAAGAAAACTGACAACTCCCTGATAGCACCTAATGCCCAATCCATATTCAAATGTTCCCTTTGTCCTCAATATAACTTGAATAGATAATTTTTTTTGAACCAAAATCTAATTATAGTCCATAATTGCATTTGATTGTTATGCCTTTTTAGTCTCTTTTATTCTAAAACAACCTCCGTGACCTTTTAAAAAAGATACTGTTTTTTGAAGAGACCAAGTCAGTTGTCTTGCAGGATATCTTACATTCTGAATTTTCCTGAATATATCCTCATGATAGCTTCTAATTTATCCCCCTCTTTCCAGCCAGGTTTCTTTACAGCAGTACCTCTCAGAACCTTCAATATGCCAATGTGCAAAATGAGTTCCCAGGTGAATGCCTTTTAGGAATCTCTGGTCTCTTTACAATAACCCTTTCTTTAGGAATTGTCCCCACTTCCAATACACACACACACACACATACACACTCAGAAGTGGACTTTGTAACCCCACTTTTGGGGCTAGTTAGAACCACCCCACATTAGAACCACCTCCTGGAAGACTACACATTTGAAAAGCAGTTAAATTAAATTTCAAAAATGGACAGACTTAAGGAAGAGGAAAACTAGGGAATGCAGGATGAAATATTCAGTGTTTTTAGATGAGTTCAAAAATGTTCAGTTATTATAGCTGTGGATGTTGGTAATGCCTACACCTTGAGGGAATAGGCAAGAGACATGTGTTGAGTTGGTTCCTAGAAGAGGCACAACCGAGATGACAAGCTCTGAGGCAGAGCCAGGTCGGATGCTACCAGAGCAAGGCCAGGTCTGGCTTAGATGTGGATCTGACAGGTTATCGCCTGTTGGGACCTAAAGGAAAACTTGTTTTGGCATAGTGTGTACTTTGGGCAGATCCAGAAGAAAAAAAAATGGGGTAGAAAGCAAGGAGAAATGAAAGGAAAGAAGGCAGGTGCTCCATTTTGGCACACAGTGCATGTAGCAGTGAAAGAGAGACCAACGTAAGAAGCAAGTTAAAAACTGTTAGACACTCTAATCTTCCTAGAAGGAATATAGGCACAGTGGAGGGGACTGGAGCAGAGGGTATATTCCACCATGCAAAACCAGGAATATTCCAGACCTGAGGAAAGGCAGTGTCTTGAAGAACATGTGGCAGAGGTATTCTTGCTTCCTAAGACCGGAGGAAGCCAGACTCAGAAGCATCAACAAGAGTCAGAAACATGCCACAGGTGACACCCCATGTAAAGTGAGGAGGAATACTGGGAATCATCCCTGGAAGCATGTTGCATGGACCTAATCAATTCAATGAGACAGGAGAATCAGCCACTCTGCTCAAGACTTAAAATGCTGCTCACAGAGATTCAGAGACCTTGACACTGGATAAAGCCCACACTCAGTGCAGTACCTAGATCCCAGAAACTGGATGTGATGGAGCATTAGATGGGAACACACACAGCCCTTTCCCCTTGGGTCTCAGGGGAAGGATCTTCAATTAGACGACTCCTGGACTCTCTCCCTTGTTGCAATTAGAGGGACCCAATTAAAAACAAGATAAACAACCAAAAACCCAAAACAAACCTTTTCCATATGTCCTCTAAACCAGTGGCTAGGTTCAGGATTAAAATATCTTGCAAGTTAAAATTAAAGCCCAAAGATAACACAATCCAAAGAATTGAACTTCAAAAATCAAAATTGTCTACCTTGTATGAAAAATTTAAAGATCTCAATTGCCAGTTGCAAGAAGCATGGGGGAGTTGTGAATCCTTCCTTCAGCAGTGACAACTGCAGCCTGCCTCTTCCACAAACAGGGCATTCTTTTCAGACCTCTGAAGTTCTATTTGTTCATTTCCTGCTTTACCAGGAGCCTCACTGTTTTTTAAAGAGTTCAAAGTGTTAAGAGGAAGTAGAATTGGCACTGGCCCCTCCCTGCCTACCAAGGTTAGGACACAAACTACTCCCCACCTCTACAAATAACAATGGCCAAGTAGGATTGTATTCCCAGGACCCAGTACTTGGTGTGACCAAAGACTCTAGAATAGACTTAGGATCTGAGAGGAGAGCCCTAGGTCTCAGCTTCCCCAGAATGGCTGTCAGGTGGTCAATATTTTGTTGTCTACAATCTGTGAAGGTAAGCTCAATTGGGAGAAATCTTTCCGTAAGAGGTTAATCTGACATCATGTTTACCAAATCTGGGGGTGGGGGAACAATTAATTTGTGCATTTATCTGAGCCAGAAGCAACTGAATCATTCCCACCTTCTTGCAAGTTTAGAAATTTGCAAAAGTGTAGGCCCCAGTCTCCAGGTGTCTTGTTCTTCTTCCGTATTAAAAATCTCTTCATTGCTATTTCTACTCTGAGTGGGACCTCCATCTCAGGCCCCAGAGCTCTCTAGGAGCATGTGTTTTCAGTCCTGCCTCTCAGTGGCTATTTTCACTGACTCTGGCTAAGCAATCTGCCTCTAGATACACTTCCTCCAGTGTCATCTTGACTTCATGGGTTGGTGCGGAGGGACACTGAGCATGTGACATACTACATGAATCCAAGGTCAGTCTCATCACGTTTGAAATGAAATGGACCAGAATTAAATGGAACTTGGAGCAGCCCAGGCCCTGCTGCCTACCGATGCACAATCTCCACTTCGATGTTCATCATTGCTCTGCAACAGGAGCCGAGCCCAGCCACCCTGCAGTTTAAATGCAGCTGAGGGTAGATCCAGGCCACTGTGGGAGATGGAGGGGAGGCTCTCTTGAAGAAAAAAAATACAAAATAATAGGTAAAAAATTAGGTATGAAAACATATGTTTATAATGGGAAAATAAACACAAAATACCAAAATATAATTGTTAAAAAGCTGACATAATAGGAGTTATTAGTTAATTGCTAGACACACCTCTAGCATACTTTCTGCCTGCAAGTGTTTGACTACCTACTCTTTAATCATCCTTTCCCATTATAACAATTTTGTAATATTTCATATAAAGAGAATAGAAACTCAGTCTTTCCTGTAGCATAATCATTTTGTAATTGACAGAAAACATAAAACTGTTGTCGTAGTACAGGCATGTGTACTTACAGACATAGGGAGGTGATAAATTATGTTTCATATGATTCCATCAAGAAAGATATAAGGTGGGTTTGTAGTTTACATGCTATATTATTGAGCATATCCCATGTGTACTGTTTGGGAGAATAGAATCCTGTACTTACAATTTTTTCAAAAGTCTGATGATAGAATTTTCCACAGAGCAGTTTTGGGCCCTGTCCTTTCAAATCTTGTTTCTCCTCCAGGATTTCCAGACTTTTTGTGCCAGACACAACACATGCTCACATTCTGAGAGAACTCTGGCCTGCACGTCGGCATATGAGGACAGTCATCACAGTGGGCAGTGGGAGTGTTTTTGGAAGCTGTTTCTACACTGGAACAGCCAGCAAAAACTTAACTATACACACAATTGGCTGCAAACCATATCAATATATCCCACTAAATCTATTTCCAACTCAACTGCCCCTTAATCCAAATAGCAAAATGCCTGCATGACAAATGGAAAAGAGACAATTGTCCTTAATCTATCACAGCTGAATCATCTTACCTTTGTGTATTTTATAAAGGCATAGGGGCACTCTTCCTTTCCCTCTCCCCTTTCCTTCCTTAGCCACAGGTGGGGCGGAACAGGGAAGATCCCCATGCTGGCTCCGGACCACAGGGAGGTAGGTGCACAGGGGCTTAAAGAGGAGTGTGAGAGCCAGTGGGGCAGGTGGTGGAGTGGTGGTGTGGGGAGTCTGGCTCCAGCTGAGTGAGAAGGGAAGAGGGGATCATACTTCAGGGGCTCAGAGTTCAGTCTCTGTGAGGTTACTGCCAAAGATGCATAACCTGAATCTAATCATAAAGAAATGCCAGGCAAACTGAATTGAGGGACATCTACAAAATAAATGACCTATAATCTTTAAAAATGTTAATGTCATGAGGGTTAAGGAAAGAATGAGGAACTGTCCCAGACAAGGAAGCCAAAGAGACATGACAACTAAATGCAACTTGACTCTGAACTGGATTTGAGGAATAAATGGTAGAAATATGTCAGTGTTGGCTTCCTGATTCTGCAGGTTGTTTTGTACTTATGTAGAAGAATGCCCTTGTTTGCAGGAAATACACACTAAAGCACGAGGGGCTGGGGGCATCAAATTGGCCACACAATCCCAAATGGCTACTGGAGGATAGAGTTCCCTTTACTACTTTTCTGTAATTTTGCCTGTTTCCAAATTATACTAAAAGGACATAAAGGATGACCATGTGAACTTTTGGTCCATAGGGTCACTCACAACCTTGGAAAGGTTGCATGCATGTGAGGGAACCCTATGCTTAAGTTTCATTAACTTCACTACCTCTCATTGCAGCAAATATTATCCTACCCAGTATTGTTTTCAAGGTCAACTCATTGAAAACCATTTTTCCTACAGATGAGTCCTTGCCTTAGCACTGTCTGCTTTCTCAGATTGTTGTGGCCTCCGTATCTCTGCTGAGACCCAGTGTGGTAGAATGAATATGTTCTGAACACTGTTCCAGGGCAAGGAGCAGCAGTGTGCATTCTGGGGCCCACATCACCTGAAGCCCTCCAGCTGCACCTTTGCAGGGCCCGCAATGCTCTGTGTGTATTTGCTTAGCCTGGCTTGGGACTACTGGCCAGTGTTTTGCTTGAGGCTCAAGGCAGACCACCTGGTGTTCACTGGCCATACTCCCTTCTCTATCCCCTTGCCTCCACTTATGCTCAGCTTGTGCATCATTTGCTTAATGCCCAGGACTTGGAGTTCTACCTGGAAGATAAAAATCAGGAACTAAGAAGAAATATTAAAATTTCCTTTTTAAATTTCCAACCTTTACTCACTTTTTTTGGTATTCTCAGTTCAGCCCTTTCCTTTCTACAAATCTGTGTACCTGCAGAGAAGGTATAATCTGGTCCATTTTCTAAAGAGGACAGTTCTGAAGAGGAAGGCAGCAGTTTGGGTACATAAATTTAATTCAGGAGACTGTTAGAAGTTCATTTAGGCTGCATATTTAAGCCACCACAATCTAGATATTTATTCTTTTTTCTAAATTTATTTTTATTTTTTTTATTTTGGTATCATTCATGTACAATTACATGAAGAACATTATGTTCACTAGGCTCCCCCCTTCACCAAGTCCCCCCGACATACCCCTTCACAGTCACTGTCCATTAGCGTAGTAAGATGCTGTAAAATCACTACTTGTCTTCTCTGTGTTGCACAGCCCTCCCCATGCCCCACACACACTATACATGCCAATCGTAATGCCCCCTTTCTTTTTCCCCACCCTTGTCCCTCCCTTCCCACTCATCTTCCCCAGTCCCTTTTCCTTTGGTAACTATTAGTCCATTCTTGGGTTCTGTGATTTTGCTGCTGTTTTGTTCCTTCAGTTTTCCTTTGTTCTTATACTCCACATATGAGTAAAATCATTTGGTACTTGTCTTTCTCTGCCTGGCTTATTTCACTGAGCATAATACCCTCTAGCTCCATCTATGTTGTTGCATATGGTAGGATCTGTTTTCTTCTTATGGCTGAGTAATATTCCATTATGTATATGTACCACATCTTCTTTATCCATTCATCTACTGATGGACATTTAGGTTGCTTCCATATCTTGGCTATTGTAAATAGTGCAGCGATAAACATAGGGGTGCATCTGTCTTTTTCAAACTGGAGTGCTGCATTCTTAGGGTAAATTCCTAGAAGTGGAATTCCTGGGTCAAATGGTATTTCTATTTTGAGCATTTTGAGGAAGCTACATACTGCTTTCCACAATGGTTGAACTAATTTACATTCCCACCAGCAGTGTAGGAGGGTTCCCCTTTTTCCATAACTTCGCCAACATTTGTTGTTGTTTGTCTTTTCGATGATGGCGATCCTTACTGGTGTGAGGTGATATCTCATTGTGGTTTTAATTTGCATTTCTCTGATAATTAGCAATGTGGAGCATCTTTTCATGTGTCTGTTGGGCATCTGAATTTCTTCTTTACAGAACTGTCTATTCAACTCCTCTGCCCATTTTTTACTTGGATTATTTGCTTTTTGTTTGTTGAGGTA